GGCGAAGATCTAGGCATCGCGAACCGCACCGGAGACGATCCCGCAGCCATCACCGACGGCTCCCAGACCGTCCCGATGATGTGGTTCCCACGTCCCGCCGACATGCCTACACTCCGAAGTATCCGCCGGCGGTCAAGGCCATGCCGGCTTGCCGACCATCGGGTCTGTCGTATGAACGGTGACGGAGCACCAGCGATAAAAGTGCCTCAGTATTTTGCTACATGCATGTCTGTAAGCATCATGTCTTGGCCGTGCCGCAGCCTTACTTGCTTGACTTGACCTTGCTGTTTGTTCGGTTGCCATGCAGTTGTCAGCCGAGTTTGTGAATAACCTGGTGGCGGTACTCAATGTCCTTGCATCCCAAGTTGCGACAGCTCTGGACACCCTGAACTTTGCCCTGATGACTGAGCGCAGCCATCCGTCAGATACTATAGTGACTCCCAGGGCACCACGGAACTCCAGACATGGGCTGCGGCCCCGCATCATCACAGAGCGCATTTCGTCTGACCGATCTCGTTCTCCCACTCGACTTCGAGCCCGACCTTTGGACACGTCATCCACATGGTACATACCGGCCTTATCCCCGCCTCGTGCGGCACATCGGGATGCTACTGACAACGATTCTGGTCCTCGGCCTGAATCGATGTTGGATCACCTGCCACTACCTCGTCCACTTGCTCCCTTCGCCACACACGGTGGCCGAGAGCCAGGACAGATGACGCCTACGACACCTGACTCGGATTCTGATGACTCGGTGCGTCCACATCCAGGCGCCTCGTCGTTCCGGCCGTCTCCTACGGTGGTTCATGGTCCTCGGGAACTTCTACAAGAATTCACCATTGCACTTCGCAATGCATACCGTGAACCTTTCACGGCATGGACACAGGGTGAGCTGGATGAGATGGTGCGACGGAAGAAAGACAAGGATTCCAGGCCCACCTATAAGACCATTGCTCGGTTCCTTCAGAAGCCCATTGAGGAAGTCAAGCAGGCATGGAAGGTCTATCAGCAACTTGAGGCTCGCGGCTAGGAACGCGGTCGTCAAATGCTACAGCGACCACTGGAGGACTAAATGGTAGGCCGTGGCGGCGTGTTCGGCTCGTGTTATTGATCACATGAGATTTGCTTGCTTGCACGTGACTTACATTTTCCTTGGAACTATTGCTTGCCGGTTTCGGGTGTTGCCGTTGACGTGAAGTGAATTCATGACTGAGTTGCTCAAATCATGCCGGAACAAGTTGTACAGACGTACATCACCTGGACCCATGGAGCACAGCCGACGTGGTTACAATTTCACGGACCCGGGGCCTTACTTGACAGACCCATTCGGCAGACTACGTCACCTCCGCCCCCGCCAAGTTTCCCATTGCTTCTTCCACCTCCTCCTCCGCCACCACCACCACCACCGGTGATTCTACACCCACAGTTTATGCCCTCGGTACGCAGTCCCTCGATCTCAGCCCCTCGCGGACAATCCTGCCCTACCTCTTCGAAATCGCAGCGCACACGCCGCTCGATCTACAGCACTGACCATTCCCGTGATGAAGAACTACGCAGTCCAGGGCGCTCGTCCAAACGATCTCGGACAGCATCAGCTTCGGCACCGCGGCGATCTCGACGGCCCTTTACAGTGTTCACCTCCAGACGTGCTGGCCGTCCATCGCTGTCCCCATCGGCAACGTGCAAACATCACTGTCACGCCATCCTGCACCATGGGCGGAAATGTCTTTCCCCTTGTGATCGTAGACGACCAGGACACTACCATTGCAGGTGTGCGCGACATCAACGGCGGTGAAGCCTAGGAGTCGGATATTGCAAACCTTGTTGCTGTGTTTCACCTTGAGTTTGAAAAAATTGCCTCACTCTCCAGCAGATGTGCACGGTTGTCATTGCATGTGTGTCTTTGCCGCAGACTTTCGATTGCTTTTAGCGGCCGCGCGAGAACCTGTCTTGCCGCTATGAACCCTCAGTATTTCGAGTACCAGATCGACAGAGGAGTGGAATGGCTTCGAATTTACTCTCCGGGCATTTGGAGACCCGTTCCCGATGATGCTCCAGTACTGGACCCACTCCACGCTTCCACGTGTCGGGAGTGGCGCAGGTCATATCGCTTCCAAGTATACTGGTCCGAAGACAGCACCGGAGGCACAACAACGGATCCCATAGTCACGCCCAGTTCCTATGTGTCTTACCACGTGTGGGAGTACCGAGACTGGCAAACACGAGGGTATCAACGACTTGGAGCTCCTGTACCAGCCATTGGACTCGCGATGCTCGTGAATGCAGACGCCAATTCCTCGGTGGGCTCATCGGTGCCGGATGGGGCGTGGCGAGAGCCGTCGCCGCCACCATTCTATGATCCTTGGAATGATTCGGAGTGACACTTGAGTAGCATGTCGGATAAATGATGCGGTTGTGCTTGCTTTGTATGAGAATCCATGTTGGGTTGTCTTGCTTGGTGGTGTGCGTTCCGTCTCCATTTGTTCGCCGCTTCCCTTTATGACTTCGAGCGGCTTGTCGGGTTGAAATGTTCAATTGCACAGTGTATGGTGCAGCACGATGGGTCCTGCCTCGCTACTTTGACTACGACATCGTCAATGGGCCAGCAAACACGAGTGTAGAATGGATTCGGATCTATGTACCGGGTCCGTGGCATCCAGTCGCCGCGAACACCTTGGGACCGGCCCCGGATGACTCAACCACCTATCGGGAATGGCGCAAGTTCCACCACTTCGAAGTGTATTGGCCTAGGGAAAGCACAGGCGGCACCAATACAGGCGCTGTTTCGCAACCGGTATCTTATGCATCCTTCTATACTTGGTATTACAGAGACTGGGTCACCAGGGGATACCAACGTCTGGGTCGTCCACGCCCTAGCATCGCGCGGCCGGTTTTCGCTTCGGGCGCACCGGACCTCATGTATGCTGGACTGACCTCTTCATCGGCATCCTCCAACTCAGATGATGGCTGATGCTCGTCCTCGCCTTCCTGGGGAGTCTGTTCAGTTCAATTCGATTCGGGAGATTGTCTTCGATACCGGAGCCGTGCAGTGCTGCAAAAGTGGTTTCTTGCATTGTGGCAGTTGTTTCGCTTTCGCTCATTGTTGTCTGCAGCCGTACACCTATCAATTTGTCTTTCCGGGGTTGCGTTGTCATGGCGTGGCTGGAATGGCGTCCGGACCCTCAACAACCAGATGCCCAGTGGGTCAAGATCTTTCATCCGGGATCATGGACACCACACGAAGAACAGGATGCTCCACCTCCTCCGCACACTTACAGAGAATGGAGGGAGTTCTATGCTCCCAACCAGGACTCAGTCGGTGGGCAGGTCCGAGTCACCATGTGGTACAAACGAGACTGGGCCACAGAGGGCTATCGGAGAGTCGCTGCTCCTCAAGCTGGTCATGAATTTGACTCCATGTATTTTCCTGATCATCACAGCGTGGCCACGCAGTCTGCGGCATTGAGTATGTCACCGCAGCTGTTAGAAGCGATTCTCAGGTCCTCGGATGCGGCTGATTTCTCTACCGAAGAACTGACTCGTCTCCAAGAGGGGATTTCTCAACAACTGACAGCTCGCGCACGTCACGCTTCCCAACCTCATCAACCAGTCCGTGCATCGCGTGGAAACACGCCATCGGAAACGGTTGGGGTCTCCGAGCCCTACCGGCCCGTGAATCCTTCCGACAGCGACAGGGACAAGGCGAGTCCCATCTTCGAGCTGACTGAGGACTAGACTCGCACGAGTGGCACAGCGTACAAAATAAGGGTGGTCTTTACATTTGCATGATCTTGCTTGGTTGTTGCTTGTACATGGTTGTGCATGGTGCCTGTTCCTCTATCAGCTGGATCGGAGCCCGCGACAATCCTTGCCTCTCACTTCGACATGGACATCGATGATTCGAAGCAGCACCCATGGCTCGAATACTCGGTCTGGCAGGAACAGGAGTGGGTGCGGATATACACTCCAGGACAGCCTCAGCGATGGCACCGCGGTGACACTGTACCTGATCTACCTGAAAATTCTTTTCGGGAATGGCAGCGGGTGACCGATCCCGATGAGCATGTCCAGGCGTGGAACATCCGCGACTGGCAGCATCAGGGATACCAGCGTATTCTGTCTCGGATGGAGTCCTTCGCAACTCATTATCCGCATGATCAATCTCTTGCTCAAGTTCGGAACTCCGATGCCGTTCCAATTGAGGAGACGTTCACCTACGCCACCCCGTTTTCCCATGGTGATCGCCAGACTGCTTCGCAACTAGCTTCAGTCCTCTATGGCGACACTCGTAACGCTCAACGTGGTGATCTCTCGTTCCCGTCTTCTGAGCGGTTTAGGGCTGTGTCTCGCTCCCCTCGCCGTGGTGGATATTTTGGTCAACGATAGAGACTCGGGTTGGAGCATGTGAGCTTCCTGCAGAAAAAGAGAAACCTCGCCCCTCATTGAGGGGCGTGTGTGTGCGGAGTGGCAGAATACCCTGCCACCAAAACCTTTTTCCGCTGCAGCAGGGGGCGCAGGGAGTTTCAGCGAGTCCTGCGCCAACGAAGACGCTCGCTGTTAACTCGTGATATCCAGCCTGATCAGCTGGACGTACCTGCAATTGTGATGTTTGTGAATGTCCTTTTGGTCCCCCCCCTGAACCGCCGTTGCTTTGTGTGCCCCTGTTCAAGTAACTAGAGTGAAGCTGAGTGATGTGCGAGTCGAAGCTCACCATACTCGAGACTCATCAGTTGTACTCGAAACTCATCAGTTGTACTCGAAAGATTAGCACTCTCCATCTGGAGTTCAAGTGTGTGTGTGTGTTCTGGCAGATGCAGGTTTTGGTGACAAAGCACTGCAAATACCAGTGTTCTCGTTCACAACCTGGGTTTTTTTTGGGGGGGTACCATATATATATATATATTAATCCGGAGGCAAAGGGGCGTGGCATACCCTGAAGAGATATGCAAAACATGCACATTCACATGTTGTGATAGACTATACAATTTCTGCCAAGGTGCGACCACTTTAACGCCGCGACCGCGCAGATCTTGCGCTAGCCCTCCTTGTCCTAATTTCTGCAAGATCCTCGTAGCTGGCAGTGGGAAACATTGCAAAAAAGCTGGAATTCCAGACAACATAGTTGGCGGCTATTTAAGGGCGGGCAAGCGTTCGTAAAGTGCGCCAATGGGATGCCTGGCACGCCTTCACACAAGACACCGGGAAGTACAGTGTGGGTCCTCACGCACTCATGCAGGCAAATCTGTAAACCATCAGACTCAAACCAGGAAGCATTGCCCCTGGCAAGTGAATCCTGAATCCTGCACTCCTGTGAGCAACGTATTACACTAGGATGCATTTTTATGGAATCTGAAACGCGTTCCTTTCTCAAACCCCAGCAAGGGCCTGAGGTCAAGCAAGAAACGAAGAGTACACCAGCACTCCAACTCGAATTTGACGAACCGACAGACGCTAGTCTGAGGCTCTGGTTAAGAATCTTGTCGTGATCAGAGAGCTTCATCAAAAGCTCGTCTTTCATCTTCTGAAGAGCGAGGCCTCTCGGATCAAGGATGAGATATGGGGATCAGAGAACCGTTTCGTCAATCCCTCCCCACATTCCGGTCAGTTGCACTCAATGGCATGGTTGAAACTATGGTCTGCAAGCAATACTTCACCTATTGAAGACTTGCTCTACCCAAGCGGGGTACATCAAAGCTGCACAGAACATGCAAACAGTCCCCGATAAAGCAAGAAGAGTTCATTTTTCAAGAGAATCATGACACAACAATGGCCCTTTCGTCCCTTTCCACCACTCAGCCATCAAATGATGCACCTGGCCCTGCCTTCATCCGTCACGCTGAGTCCGAAAACACTGCTCTCCTCGCGGTGTGGCGACTCCTCCACACTCGGCAGCTGTGGGAAGGTTGCTTTTGGCGTCGCCTTCGGCGGCACCACCGGATCCTGCCAGGGAGTGACTCGCTCAACAAGAATTGCCCTGCTACAGGTGGCACGAGTCAGGTGCTAATCCTTTGTTGACAAGCGCTTTTCCACTCATCGCTTCATACATACTGCGCTCAGCTCTCGGAGTCTGGGGGCATGCAAATGCCTCTCCTTTTAACAACGCTATTCTGAGAAGTGCTGCCGGCGGCCATCTTGCAAAGCGTCGAAAAAAACACCGGAAGCCTCAATTATCGATTCCAATTTAGCATGTTCGGAACCGTAGCCCCGTTGATGTTGAGGAACAACAGCTCTCAGGACGCTTGCCGCTCAAGGTTAGCAGCTGCCATCTTGCCTCGTCATCCTCGTCGTGAGAGGTGATGGGCTGCGCCATCGCCGCGCACAAAAGATGCGGGTTTGTGCTATACTGAATCCCTGTAACACGTGCGATACTGAATAGATGTAACACAGGCTTGAAGCCAACCAGGCAAACCTTCGATTGGTATGAGTACGCAAAGCCGGCGAGCAGCGGAGTTCCTTACATTGTTTCGCAAAGGTCCTCTTGTGGTGGATAATTCCTTGGTGCTTGAGCCACGCTCGCAAACACTAGCCCTGCACACTATCCAAGACGTGATGAAAACCGCCCATCTGTTTCATGAAAGCTCCGAGGGGACACCGTCGGAAACCGTGACACCGTCTGGACAGTCGCGTCCCGACTTAGGGTGGGCACCGGCTGCCGCCCGAAGCCCGCGCGGCCCAGCGCCAAGCAGCTCACCAGCAAGGCCGAGCTGAGCGGACAGCCGCATGAACAAAAACGGGAAGAAAAGGAACAGCAGGACTGACAAGCATGACTCGGAATGACGGCAATATCATGACTCCTTTAGCTTAGCGGCTTGGATGTCTGAATGCCTTGAAAAGCGGTGTGAGACATGATTTGATTGGCCACTAGCTTGGCGTGGAGGGTACAGTTGGACTGGCTTTCGCTGAGCTCAGGTTTGTTTGGGACGCTTTCATGTAACCCTTTATTAGCATCTAAGCAACATTAGTGGCTGGTGTCTTCGATGGAATCCACCAAAACCCTGCGTTTTGACACAACGGGCTAATGAATTCTACATTGCCATCCGTGTGCATCTTGACGCCCTTGTTCCAAGCAAGCTGATCAAATGGCGTAGCAACACTGGGACCTGCGTGCAACGAGTGTTTTGGATGCATGGAGTGGACGTAGAATTGGTTTGGGATGGCCTAAGTGGGGGTTGCGGTTCGCTGGTTGCGGTGCTTGCTCGGGCTTGCTCGAGCTCGCTCTGGCTTGCTCCGGCTGGCTGCTGAAACATGCAGTTTCAGGCGGTAAAAACAACGGCGGAAACGAGTAGCTCACCAGTTCTAAGCCATAGGCCATAGGCCGAAGGCGGCTACTAATTGCTCAAATCAAATTTCCCTACACGATATCTTATCTATCTCCAGGACAGGATGCACCCTTTAGAATAGATTGTTCTACCCCCCCTCTTCCAATACTGGATTAGAATTCGGCAACACTAAACCAATCCTAAACCAACAAATGTCCGCCGCCCCCAATGGCACTCGTATCAGGGGCCAAATCGAATTTTGGTTGCGCCGTCCGTCTTCCCTTGGGGCGATTCCACGTTAATTCCTCGCCTAGCAACTTATGATTCCGATGTTGCTCCCAAATTTGGACGAGGGCCGAATCAGGACACCTCGGAATTCCATGGACCCATTTTTGTCAAAGGAATGTTTGTCATTGGAGGGGCCGCGCGCCAGGGTTTATTGTGCTGTCAGCACCTGTTGTCTGCGCCCAGGCTACCACACTCTGTGTAGTTCTGACACTCCATGACTGCGTGCTGTGTGAGGCGACCTCAGGACTGGCTCAAACTCCTGGCCTCGTTGGCTCTGAAAGTCTTGAGCATACCAGTCATGGACCCTGATTTCAACTTAGCGCGTCCCTTCTGACGCATGCGCCAACAGTGATCAGGCCCTTCATCACATTCAAGCTGTTCTGAGCATGGCTCTTGCACGAATTTCACCACTAGGGCCACATGCGTGCGGTCATAATGCCGACTTCCTGTGAAAGACATCGGGAGTCAGGATCTTGAGGTGCTTCTTTCGTTCTTTTTGGCTCTGGGATGAAAGAAGATCAGTGATGAAGCAGCCTGCGAGGCCTGAAAGGCGCTAGTCAGCCAAGGCCAAGCTTCAGGCCTAGGAGGTCCGGATTGGTGTGCCATCGAAGGCTGCCGAAACCTCGGTGAGTCATGATAGAAAGCTGGCCCGAGATTGCAACAAGCATTCACATGACCAGTTGACATGACTATCCTCAATGAGCACTTGGCCCTGGCGCCTGGCAACAGCAGCTTCATGTATTGTTTGTAGGTGAACTGCCTTCAGTGACAGAGTCTCAAAGCATGCCTCCTGACCCCAAAAATATTCACCTGGTTTGCCAGCCGACACCAAGCAAAGAATGCTTCAAAGTGTTGCTTTGAACAAGCGAAGCACAAACAGGTTGGTCGATCATCTGCTCCAACATCTCTTTGCCGCAAGCTCTGAGTTAAACTTGTCTGCACAACGGCGGTATCTCTTGAGACATTCCTTGGACTCTTCAAACACCAGCTTCTTGGATTGCCAGCAGTTTCGACTTTGAAAGCTCAGCTTTTTCAAAAACCAGATTGTCAGCCAATGAAAGTCAAAGCGCGACGCATGTAAATATCGAACAGTGTCCAATGGCAAACCGCCCTACTCCGACCAAGCTCCCAAGCTCCAAAGCAGCATCGACACATCGGAGGGCTGAAGACCACGACTGGCAAATTCTCAAGCAATGCTGGACAAGGTGCCCTCTCTAGCAGAACAGTCTCACTGCAATATATAATTCAAGTCGCTCTACCTCAAGCGGACTTCACAGGCAATCGCTGCCAATGCCATGTCACTTGCAGGTTGCAAATAGCATGTTGGTCCAAGCTTCCAAAGTGGCCTGAGCAAGTGGCAGAAGCGCAAAAGCGGCCACAAGACTGGCGTTGCTTTGAGGCTTTAGGGTCGATGTCGCTGCTTTACAACGCCTGGTTGAAATGATAACTGCATGCAAGCGTCTTTCATGACAAGCTGCACATCTGCAAACATCCAAGGCATCTTGCCCAATGCAACAAGCGTTGGGCAAAAGGGCCATTGACCACACCAGGTGCCGTCCATCATTGTCCGAGGTACTGTCTTGTCAGATTATGGGCTTTTCTCGGGATGTTGAATCTGCTGCTACGCTTGCTGCGCGCATGATGTTCTGTTGTTCTTCCCCATTTTGTTTGCATTTAAATCCAACCATTGCTTTCGACTTTCATGATTTGGCGCTTGCTCTCATCTTGCCTGCTTGCCTGCTTGCCTGCTTGCCTGCTTGCCTGCTTTCTATCTTGCCTGGCTCCCTGGCTCCAAGCAGAACAAAGCACAGCATGGGGTTCCGGTCGCCGATTGTTTGAAACGGTGCAACCTGGCACCACAGGCGCCGGCACCTGTTGTGTTCCAGGTAGAAGCTCTGAACGCGGGCGGCTAATCGAAGGTCCTGGCAGAGCCACAGGACGCAATGCCGCAAGGCGCTCAAACTTGGAGGGCAAAGGGCATTGGAGTGAGGGGTTCAAACAATGCACAAGAGACGCTAAGAGATGCTTAGTGTGCTCTGGTCAAACATTGGCAACATGGAATTCAGGTCTGCAGTCAGGAGCAAAGTGAATCGATCAGGAAACTCAAAGAACCTCTGCCACCACCCTTTCCACTTTAGCACTCCGCATGCCTTGTGTTGTGCCTTCGCCACCGCCCAAAGGCAAAGACAAAGGTCCTCTGGCGACGGCCAGCTTCAAACTATATGGCAGGTCAGGTTTGTGGGGGCAGGAACACATGTCGAAATCAAATCCGAATACCTCTTGCTGACGATGCTGAAAGTAGGGTGTATGTAGCATCCCAAAGCAACCGCACAGGGATGTCATGACAATGAGCAAGTAGTCAAAATGACTGTGTTTCAAGCGGAAGATTTGCGGGACCTACTCCGCTTCATATCAGATCGGCTGAGAGCGAAGCGCGATGGGTAAAGCCCACAATATCCCGCCTGAGCATCAGACCATGCCCTTGGTCTAACATGAGTGTTGCTGATGCTCGAGCTAGTTCAAAGGGGAGATCGGCAAGCTGCTGGTTTGATTGTGCTCAGGTTGTTGGAAGGGTGCTTCTGAAACTCACGATGTGATACAAGCACTTAGTTTTGGCCTTCCAAGCTGGACAAAGGCCACAAACCTCTTTTGCGATAAGGAACTTGGACACCCGGCACTATCTGTGGGATTGCTTCCTCGAAGAGCTGCCCAGATCGGACTCGCAACCTGCCAGTTATAGACCACTACTACTGGCTATCAGTAGCATGCCAACTACACATTGCATGGCTGAAATCTGGACGCGGTTCCGGTCTAATCTACATTCGGCTCAAACATACCATGCATTCGCAGATCCAACTGGTGAAAACACCGGAATGGGGACAGGTTGCCTCGAAGGCGCATTTCCCGTTGAGCTTCGTGCAACGTGATCCCACCTCACCAGGCTTCGCATTGCCGCCGCCAGCTGCTTTGGCGGGCACCGCGGCAACTGCGCCGTGAAGGCCTGGCCGAATGGCCGAGCCGACGCGTGACGAATGCGCCGATTCAACCCTAACCTTGTGCCGGTCGCAAACTGACAGGGGTTGTATAAAAACGGGTGATGAACAGTTCAATGCTTTTTGGGGCTATTGCTTGTTTTTACTCCTTATCGTTTTGCCTCTGGCTCGAAAGTCGCAACTTTTAAGTACAAGTGCAGTACAGGAAGTGCACTTTGGCAGCTCCGGCTTGAAAGTCGCAACTTCTAAGTACAACTGTTGTACACCACTTGTCTCAGCTGTACATCACTCACAATGTCTGGAATTGTTGGCGGGAAACGGACCTGCCCAATACTAAAGTGGTATCAGCCACCTTTTTATTACAACCCCTCATGTTGATCACATCTTTCTGCAAATGAGAGATCAGTCACTCGGTGAATTTGAGCAAAGACAGTGACAGATTCCGAGGCGGTGGCTTTTTTGGGTCTCTCCGTGCCATGTATGTCGGTAATTGATGCGCCGTGGCAGCGTTTCAACACAAATCCAGAGGCCCCGCGAAACATGGCGCCTCATTGAGCGTGAGCCTTCCAATCCGTTTTGCAAACCGCCATAGCTGAGAACCCCCAAACCCATGGCCCAACCTCCTCCAAGTTACGCAGGAGCCTTGGCTCCTGGCAAGGAGCCACTCAGGCGCTTCCGAGTAGGGTCTCTGTTGGAGTGCACAACGCATTAGCCCCTTCTGTCATAGACAAATGATCCCAAGATATCATAAGATATCATAAGCTCTGAATCATGTCGCAAATGTGTTCACAAATAATGAGCGAGCCCAAGAAGCCACGTTAAATTCTCTGCGTCTGAATGTTGACCTTCTTTTTCCCGCTTGCCACATCTGCTGTCAAACCCGATCCTTTGTCGGGTGCAGGCACTCCAGGTACCGGAAACGCGTGCTACTCTCTCTCTCTCTCTCTCTCTCTCTCTCTGGAAGTGACAGCCTGTTTGCTTCAGCGCTGTGCTCCGAACCCGGGTACCGAAGCGTTAACTCGGTGCCTGGGATGCCAGCCCCAGGATGCTGTTTAAAGAGAAGGCACCATTGCGTGGCACACAGCATTACACTAAAATGATGTAAAAATCCGAACGCCAAGAGGCTTTCTAAAACATGAACCAACTTGGCGCCGACATGCTCAGAACCGCCGTGTTCCTGGCAGGTACGCTTGCTGCACGACCAGAGGCTATGTGCAGCCAAGGCTAAGCATACGATTGCGGAGGTCACTCAGGCCAGCCCCTAGTCTCATGACAATCATCCCCATATACGGATGCTGATACATAATATGTCTATATATATATCATTTAGTTATTGTAAACGCGAAGATGCAATTGTGTAAGAGCCGCTCATGTGCACCACAGCCGCAAATGGACACAAGCTGGAGCTAAGAAACTCAAAGATTGTAGTCCCCTGGCCTTCTCCATATCCACCGAAGGCAAAGCCTCTAACAGGATCGGGGCACGCGGAAACTTTGGTGGCCCCAAGTCACAGCTTTCACTCAAAATGGCTCTTCTTCGAGGAAGAGAAGAGCGTTTTACATGGAAGAAAGTAATGTCGGGATGGACATGAACGCTAAGAAAATATGAGTGGCCGTTGACACTGTTACCATATCCCGGATTCGTGTTGCTTCTTTTTCTTGTCTGCAATGGGCCCGATCATCTTCAAAGCTGCAATCCAATCGATCAAGCTCCTCACATTGCAATGGATGCTGGCCTGGATGGCGTGCTGGGGGGCCAAATGCAAGGCCACCTGCCAAGGTCAATTCAGGTTGATCTTTACAGAAGATATCAAAACAACGGCTGCAACGTCTTCAATCAAGGCAAATCACATGCACATGTCCGCTGCCAAATACAGAGCACCGATACCGACATGGCAGAATGCGCCTCGCGGAAAGCTGCCCTGCCACTCCTTGTACTGCAGCGTCGCCGACCGCTTGCTGACGTCCGGGTTGTCTGCGCCGCTCTGCACAGCTAAGCTTCAGAATCCCTTTGCTGTACTGAGCAGGACGTGTAGTCTAGTCAGGTGCCTTCAAACCAAAATGCAGTCCAGCTGCTTCTCAGGAACTGCTCCTTCTCGTGCCACCGAACTTCAGAAGGCGCGTAACCGAAGCCGCCATCCAGCACACGATGCATCTCTGCCTCTTAGAGGCCCGTTTGAGAAACTCGCACGATTCTGGAGGCAGTGAACCGGCCTGTTTTTGGGCAAATGTCCACTATTCGCAAATGGGAAACAAGGCAATTTGAAGTAAGGGTCTTTCATCATGCGCGAGCTTGCTTTTCCCCAGGTGAGCTCGTTGAAATCTATATAGCTTGCCCAAACATATCATCGCCTTGGCTCCGCAATCGGAGTTGTGTACAACAAGAGCTGGTGATGTGCAAGCCTGTCTTAGTGTGAACACAAAGCAGCTTTCCACAAACGCACCTCTGTTGCCAACAATGGCTTATTTCCATGATGTGCGCAGGCAGTCACCTCAAAAGTTATTTCTTGCACATCACGCACCAGAGTGTCACACGCACGAGCCTAGCAAAGGCGGGAGTGACCCCTGTTCTCTCCAATGCGGAAAACTACAAAGGTGTATCAGTCGATCAACAAGTTGCCGTCTGTGCACAATGAGCCGATGTGCGCGTGCGTGTGCCTGTCTCGGACAAATTCATTAATGAAGCAGAATAAACCTCTCCCCAAGTTGTCTGCAAACACAGCGGCTCGAAGCGGATGTTGTGATCCTTGCCGAACTCTGGTGTCCTTGCAGCTAGCCGGCACGGGTCATGTCTCAAAAGCATCCTTGAATGGAAACACAACTCTGTCGGAAGCCTTGAAGCACTGCGAAGGTGCTGCTCGGTGGCTATACGCACAAAAACAATTAGCCAAGGATGCAGCCTCTGGATAAACGAAATTGTCCCTGTATTTGGGAAACGGCACTCACGCGCCGGTTCTGATGGTCCGTGTCTGGGTTCTCATTGTCACCGACACCGACATCACCGACATCACCGACAAATCTCATCTCAAGTCGGAGCTCATGTCAAATGCGGCCTCGGATCCAGCGCCACACGGCGCGCAGTTGGCAGAACCGATTTGAACTCCTCAGGCGTCTGGACGGCGTAGCCCAATCCTGGCTGACAGCCATGGCTGCAAGGCAAGCTTGCCCATGATTTTTCCGTCCGCTGACACCTACCAAGGAGATACAACTCAAGCATGTGTTTGTGCTTGTTTCCACCAACACTGTCACAGTTTCGGGAAAATGCCTCGGCTTCTGCATGATCGAAGCCAGCTAGCGACAACATAGGTTGCTCCTCTATGGTGGCTATCAAAAAACACGCTCCTACAACTTGGTTAGACAAGTAGAAACACCCATCCACTAGCAGTCACTGCCAGCATGAAGCGCGGCTAAGCTGCGGATGTTGCCACAAAGCTCACCTCCGCTGGTGGAATCCGAGTGATGGGTATGGGCCTTGGCTAGCGATGATAGAGATGATCCGCACTCATGCACGCAGCGACATGACTCCGGGGAAGCGTTTGTACAATTCTTCCATACGGTGACCAAAGCACTGGAGCGTTGCCCATATTCTGACACAAGACTGCATCACAAAGTCCACAATTCTTTAAAAAAGGAGGACGCGAATGATGAGAACGCAAAAAAAAAAAAGCAAGATCCTGCAAGCAAATCCGTGAAAAGCCTAAACGAGAAAGCCATAAGCCCAGAAAAGCCACGGCGCCGCCAAAGCCTGCGGGCATCGCACAAGCTCAATGGGTATGCGTCTCAGCTGGAGGCGGCCCATGAAGTCCTCAGGTTTCACCCCGAAGGGTCACACCCCCCGGTGCCTCAGAACGGCTTCCAAATCCCCTTGAGGAACAAACAATATCAAAACCTGGCCGCACCTGGGCTTTGGAAGCTTTGCAGAGGACTTTCGGCCAGGGCAAAATGCCACAGAGCCGGTGCCGCCCAGGCACCCCGTCTTCAGACCATTCAGTGTCGGGGAAAGGCACTGTTTCCCAAGCTGACCGGGTGTAGACGAAGGAGAAGCCATAGCCATACCTGTCCGAACTCCGGTTGCCCCGAAACATTGGCCATGCCTTCTTCAAAGCACTGACTCTGACCAGAATCGAAACTCTGCCGGAAGCAGTGCGCATTTGCGGCCATGACGCATAAAGGACTCTCGCTGCTCGTGACTGAGCAAGTTGTCAGTCTTGGGGTCAAAGAATCCAAAGCGCTGGTCCTTGACCTGTGAAGGCACACGCTTGGAGTCCTTTCAAAAGCTCGCACGTGAAACACGAGTTCGACTGCAGAAGGAACGCTCCAGGTCGCCGGTCACATCCCTATTTCTCCCCGAGGTGCGTCCATCATGTGCCACTCCGAGAGCGTGGCGGCCGCTGGCTGCATCGCCTGTGGACATGCCCGGAATCCCAAGGAAAAGGCATCCGCCACGTGCGCCGGGAGTTCAAGGTTGCCAGCTGCTCAAATGCAGCTGGGGCACGCGCTTGCCTGGGCCAGAACGCAAGACAAAAAGCGAGTGCGAGTTAGGACATATCTGCTGTCGCAGACGTGCAGGAGTGGCTGCAGAAACTTTAAAGTCCCGGCATTGGACGCAAGGCAGCTCGCATCTCTGCTAATCTGCTCGAAAGAATTAGACCTGCTCCGGACTGTCAAGGGTAAAGCCTGCTCGTCAAAGCGGAGGCAGCGGTAGAAATTTCTTTGCTCAATGTCACCGAAAGGTGATTCGGGCCAAGCCAAGCTGCGTTGGGCCAGCGTCGCACTCATACGGCTGAGATAATTGGCTGCATACCTTAGGATAGAATCGCTGCCCTAGTGCAAAAAGCGTAGCAGAGCCTCCGTTGCTTGAGCGGCTAGCAACTGAGCGGGTACAGCATTCATAGCAAGTAACGATTGAGGCTGGTGATTGAGGCTGCCAAGCAGCAAATCATCATCATCGAAATGAGCAATGATTGCGCCACGTGCCAGGTGGCAGCACAAGTTCCGCTTGAATCCTGCTAGGCTCTGAAAGAAGCTGAGACGAGTCTGGTCCACTTGTTACAGCTTAGGCTTATCACCCTCAAGTGCAACAACCAAGACAAGGCAACCAAGCGACCAACGCACTCGATCCCTCCCGTCTGGCCTAGTGACCAGCCACCGCGAGGCTTGAAGCTCAGGCCACGCCTGTGGGCAAGGCCCAGAATCGCATCACTGCCGGTCTGATGCGCACAAATGCCAATCAATAAAGATTGAGGCGCTGAGATCGCTGAGGCACATCTAGCAAGAATGCTGTTTTGCATGCTTTGGGGTGACGAGGGAGAGGGGAGCTCCTACACTTACTTCACGAGGCCTGCCCTCAGCTCAACTCATTCATTAGTTTTATGAGAGGACCTTTGCTACAGGCAAAATGCAGCTGGCCGTTGGGTTGAAAGGGTCGCCAATCTAGGACGTGCCTTCACAGTATTCCAATATCAGTTGGAATTCCACAAGCAGTTAAATAGCACGTCCAGGCTTCAGCCATTCCTTATCACTTTTGCAGATGTTCAAGGCGATCGCAAATGCGTGCCTTTAGACTGCCACCAATGTTGAGGTTCATGGATGCAATGTGCAGTAAAACCAGCCAGTGATGCCTCTGCGGCCCTAAGAGTAAACAACGTCATTCCCCAGTCACACTTCAGCAGGAGTCTTGCCCCCAGTATGTCTCGGGTGTGCGTATTGAGTGCAGAAGCCCTGCAGTGCACTGAAGTTGTTCGCTCGAGGGCAGCCTCCATGATGTATGTGCAGTTCGCTTGGCATGTTGTCACTGAGAGTGACGGGAAAATCCGTCTTGACCAACTCCATGTCTCCGCCTCTTCTTCACATCTTCACCTGTTAGCACAGAGAAGCCATCATCCAGGATCACTGCAGACATGGGATCCTCAGCTCTCAAAGTAACAGTTCGACCCAGCGGCTCAATGCAGATCATGAAAAGCAAGAACCAGCGTGGCTGCTTGAAATGCTTCGTTCAAAGCATGAATGAACTACCTGCCAATTGCAAGAAGGGAAAGCTATTTCTTGCATGGCATTGAATATCCCGCTCCCTTTTTGGAATACCACCCCTTTCTACCCGCACAGTTCATTTGCGCGAGGGGGAAGCCACGCACAGAGGAAGCAAACAAATCCACAGCACGATCACAGTCATGAAGGTGGAGGAGGCAGTCAAATGCATAGAGGGATCCACACCACAAGGAAACATCATTGAGGTGAACCAGAGGACTACGACAAGATCGTGGACACCGGCAACGCCTTGCACGACCGGAAGCAACAACAATGATCTGGCAACACGGCCAGCGGCAAACAGGACAGCAACAACAGACCGCTGGATGAGGACCAAACATATAGCGGACGCCCCATACGAGCCCATCCAGGTCTCATACGAGCAAGTCTCAGGACAGCCCGGACCTACGCCCAAGCCGGCCACCAAAGTCCAGATTAGCACAGGCAGGCAAGGCCCAACAAAAAGGTCCTCGGTGGCGACGGCCAAAGCTGACACACCCCGCAAGATAACCACCGAAATCCAGGCATGTAGCATCGAAAGCCTCACCTGGGACAACTCACAGGAAGCACCTGGAAAGCAGGCAGCGAAACAGTTGGCAACACCCTGCTGAAGGCGGAAAAAGCAGACGAAATGCTTCAGGAAACGCCATGCCCAGCAGATGGGGAGGCCTCCGCCCCGACACGGGATGTCAGCAGCCCTAGCAACCCCGTTTCAATGCCAACGGCACAGCAGCAGCAAGGCGTTCCAAGCACACATCATTCAGATAGCAAACTGGACCCGCCTCGCAGCGTGCCAGACAACCACGAGTTGCTCATAGAAGCCAACCCTGGAGGAGGCGGACGGCCCTGAATCTGGGTAGGCGACTTCCTCGCTGCCGCCCAAGCGATGGACGGCGAGTCGGTGCATGGTGGGAAAGACACACGACGGTGGACCACATCTACACCAACGCCGTCACAGGGAAAGTCAAGGCGCTGAGCATCATCCGCGATCGCAAAGCCCTGCAGGTGCAGCTGCGGCGCAACTGGGCTGAATGTGCCTCCAGGATCCACGCACCCAAGGGACTTGAACCGCCCGCCAGACGTGCAACGTGGAACAAAGCATTTCCGAGAGCTCTTTTTTCGCCTGATAGCTGCCGAGCCTCCTGCTCCTCCAAGCCAGGAGATTGCTTCCTGACTCTGCGCGTTGGCCTGCTCGGGTTCTGCTGCGTGCGTTGGTGCCAGTGTATTGCTTGTTCAGTTCCCAGGCGGGAACAGTAGTCGCCCTCGTTAGCCCGCAATGCTCGCAATGCTGGGCGCCTGGACTTTAACTATTTGTGAAAATCACCAAACATCACACTACTGCGACAACGCTGGGCCAACATGGCCACAATGTTGTAACCATATTAGATGTCACACAGATAATGTGGGCAGAATATTTGCAGTCCACTGAATTTGGAATAGAGTTAAAGTCCAGATATGTGGACATAATAATTGCAGTCCATTGAATTTGGACAAATTAAAGTCCATAAATGTGGACATAATATTTCAAGTGCAGTGAATTTGAGAAAAAATCAGTCCAGAATAGTGGACATAATAAATATTTTCAACTGCACTGAGTTTGGGAAAAGTTAAAGTCCAGAAATGTGGATCCCGGGGCAAAGGGCGAAATATTCTTCAAACACAGCCATCTCCCCCCACCCATTCTCAAGAGGCGCCAAAGTATCCCCCCTTACCTACGCCCAGCCGCCCATTTTGGAATCCCCGCTTTTGTTAAGCGCTTTTGAAGGCGGGATGGGCCGGCGGATAAAACCAGAGGTGACAAAAGGTGAAGCCCGCGGATGCGGCAATGGCGCGGCAGAGGAGCGGCAATGGAACGGAAACGGCACAGCAATTGGCAACGGCCGGCGTGTTGGACATAGTCTTCCCTTCCCTTCCTTGTTCTGAGTTTCTGGGGATCACGGTGATTCCAACGTGTTCCCTTTTCGTAGATTAAATCCTTTCATGTGCGTAAAAACCTTGGGGTGTTCGATTCCCCCGGTCTGCAGCATCACCAGCATCACTGGCATTATCTGGATGACATTCTGACAGGAGCAAGGTCACATAAACGGTCCCTATTCGTGTCTTGTGGCACCCAAGATGTTCAGCTATTGCGATGTCTAGATGTCAATCCATTTTAAGCGAAAGATGTCAAGCTATTTGTTTTTTCGACACGTTAAGCCACAAAGATTCAGATGTCAAGCCATTAAGATTTTCAGGTTGCAATCCTTTTTACACGTTAAGCCACCAAGACTTTAAGATGTTCAGCCATTACGATGCTTAGCTTTCAATCCATTAAGATGATAACAGTTTAAGCCATTAAGATGGTCTGACTTTAATCTCTTAATAGTTTTACACGTTAAGCTACTAAGAAGTCCAGATTTTAACCCATTAAGGGTTTCAGACTTTAAACTATTAAGATTCTAAGGTTTTCCAAATGGAGAATTCGCGTGGGAAAAACCACAAAATTCCAAAGAGAAAATCTACTGGGATAGTTCCCACGGGAATCAACGGGAAACATACCTAGAGAAAAATCCAATGGCACAACTCTAAAGGGAACACTTCCAATGGGAGAACTCCATTTCCGAAGGGAAAATCTCAAAGGAAAAAGTCCAATGGGACAAGTCCAAAGGAAAACGTCCAATGGGAAAATCTCAAAGGGACAATTTCAAAGGGACTTTTATTGGGGAAATTCCAATGGGAAATGTCCAAAGCAAGACTTCCAATGGGACAATTCCAATGGCATCCGGCGACCACTGCGAGACAACCCAGAAGGCCCCTGCACGCCGGACAAGCGGGTTCGACGCGACGAGTGGGGCGACTGAGGACTGGAAAGGAAGGCAGGGACGCAAAAGCGCGTGGATTTGACCGGAGCCATGCCAAAGACGAGCTCTAGGCGTAAACTCGCCTACTACAAGTAGCAAGCCTCCAACTGCAACACAACACAACAAGCCGACAACCAGGGCCCAAACAAACAAGCAACAACCACTCAGAAGAGCGCAGTCTCTAGAATTCCCCACCCCCCCCCCCTACCCACCCACGTCCAGCATTCAATATTCGCTCCGCTCCCTTTTGAACACCCCCCCTCGTTCCTCAAGGTAAAAAAGGGTAGAACGCTAACAACGTGTCTCGGACTCCTTCTGCGTTGCTGAGAAGCATTCTCGCGAGAGTCATCAACCACGAAATGGTAGTAGATCACGCGGGAGTCCTCTGCAGCCTCACATGAATCAGGGTGCAAGGGTTCAAAAGGCTTCCAGCAGCTGCGCCCACAATGCACCATTGAACCTCTGAAGAGAAAGGGAAGTAACTTCACATGACGTTCTGCGTTTGTGTTGGGACGAAAATGTGTTTTTAGAGATCAACATCGACCTCGTAGTTGTTATCTGTCATTCAACAATAGAACCGCGTGCACTTGGTAGACCTGCAGCAACGCCAGCACCACAATGTCCTCGTTGACAATGCTGGGTGTGAAGCAGTACAAAATACTTGTTGAATGAGTTGTGTTGTTTATTGGCGCCTCAAGAATAATCCTGAGTGATGGGTCTTGTTTACGCTGGCCCCCTGATCGTGCCCATTGCGCTTTGAGAGAAGAATGGAGCATGCCAATAGAAAGGCGTCATTGCACTCGCAGGAACGAGATCTCCAGCATATGACCCCGCACGAAGCTGTTTTTTTTCTTGGTAGCATAATTTATATACGGCATATTTGAGAAAGGAAAATAACAATAAACACAATGAACAAAATAATTTCAGTTGTTTGAAGGAAACTTAAAAGAAATGCAGGTACATGTATCGATGCGGCGTAGCCTTTTCGTCCATTGTTGTTTTCCTGCAAATAACTCAGCAATGGCAGGCCTTGCGGAGCAGGAAGTCGGAGGGCTTGGCGCCGGTGTCTATCACCTCAGTTGAGTGCAGTTGAGTTGGTCCAGTCATCTATGGACTAAGAAGGCTCATTGATGCAGGCAATACGCACAGAAAACCGAATTTTGCAGGCCGATCCCGCAACCATCCACCACCTTGCAAAAGCTGCATGATGTTTGCAGGCAGAGTTGCCACCAATTCCTTGTCCTCGTAGCTCTGCAAGCAAAAGTTCTCGTAAAGCAAAGGATGAAATGCATGGCCTAGGAGCCCAAAAGCAATCACGAGGACCTCCAGCATTGGACGCAGAATGCAAGAGCACGACCGCTCATCCCCAAGTTAGCAAGCGAGTGTCAATCAGGATTGAGTCTTCAGCAGCAAACAGCAATTTCAAAAAGACAGTGGCCGTTGAGGTTGACCACATTTCAGCGTGGTGGCTTTGATTCTGCCGGGTAGAAAGTCGCATGCAATTGCCATCAAACAATGTCAAGGTGGCCAAGAGGCGCTTCTCACTTGTCGGACAAATCACGGAGATGAGCTCGTTGGCGTGGCCTGTAATGGTACGACTTGCAAAAGGATAAAACAAATGCCGAAGAAGGTAAGGCAAACGGTAGATATGCTGCACCGCAATTCCAAGTGCCATTGATTCAAAATATGCAAGCATGTGCACACGTAATCAGCTGGCTTGCTGTTGACAAGAAATAGCACGGTCTGACACCAAGATTGTCAGCTTGTAAGATGGACCAATCACAAAACGGTACAGAGTACGCATCAATGAAAATATGATTTCAGATTGCATGGCAAGCTCGTTTCTTCGCGTCTATTCAACCAGACCTGCAAGTGTGAAAATGCTCAGTCAACACGGCACCTGCGTCACCCAGCTGCTTGCGGGCATCCCTGCGTGGGTCATAGACACCCAAAGAGAGCAGAAACATGGCGACCTGCAAGCTGCAGAAATGCACAGGAAAGTGAGGCAACTGCAGCAACCTGGCACAACAACTCGGCCTCCCGGTGCTGCCAGGTGAGGGAGTCTGCCGGGATCCGCATAGCCCGCGGCAGGCGCCGGGTGCGGGCAGTGCCTGAGGGGCTCAACTAGCCCGCTCTCGCGTTCTGGGAAGTGCTGGGGGATCCACTTCAGAAAGAAACAGATCAGATCTATCAAACAAAGGGAAACTGCTGCATACACATGGCACTCGTACGACATAAGAAAGCCACCTGCGATTTCAGCACCTTGGCGTCTCCACATATTCGCCTCGGCCCCCAGGGCCGGGAAGCGGTCAGACTCTCAGACCCCTTTGGCTTCGCTTGCGCACTTGCAAACAAACCAGCTCACGAATCTCGGCGCTGACTCACTCACCAAAAAAGAATAACGCTTGAAGGCAAACCAAACACAGTCCTTCAAAGCCAACCAAAAGATTAACGGGCCGAGGCGGGCAACGCGAAACATTTACGATTATGAGCCTATTCATCGATTCACTTTGATGACACTCAGATACTATCATCTATAGCTCTAGTTTGACAATTGGCATACGCATGCTTAGAAACTCAGAAGACGCCCAAAAATAGTTTGTTCTCGTTAGCATCTACACTGAATCGAATTGCGTACAGTGACTTGAAACTCAACAGGTTGCTTTGGTTGTTGGGACCTGCTGGCAAATCTTCACCTGGCTTTGATTATAGGAACGTCCTTATTCCTCACTTGCTATGCTTGGCAGGCGTATCCCCTCCGCGCCAACTCATGTTGGTTTGTTGGGCGTGCAAAACTTGGGGCGACAGCATGGACAAATGTGTGCCTCTGAAGATCCAACCCAGTCAAGAAACCACAACCAGTGCGTTTGCTGCTGCGATTCCCTTAAGATTCCTGGCGCCCACTCGCACAGTTTGATAGCAGTCCTTCAAAAACATACTTATGCAACGAAAAACAAACCCTAGCCCAACCATCCGCCATCGCAGCGCGAACCCCCCAGCTCCATGGCCCGTATTGCAATGGTAGCTTTAAGTACTTGTGTTCGTGCAAAGTGTGATGCCTCTTTCATCATTGGAAGGCAAGCCCTAGGGCAGAAAGAAGTCATATTATATATTGAGCGGCACAACGATCACGATCTTAAGGTACAGCTTGTGTCCAAACCTTCAACCCCATCCTGCCCTGGGCTGAAATAAAAGCCCAGTGTGACACCTTTGTACCCTCATACCCTAGCATCGGTTAGTACTGGCCTTTTTCCTCACCATCAGTTTACCCTGATTTGGGGGCTACGAGCGTGGGCCCTTAAGTTTCCCACTTCGGAATCTGCGACGCAGGGTGTAGCTCACAAGAACCCAAGACTATTTGAACCAATCGTGTCTTTCTGGCTTCTGTGGGTATCGTTTATTTTTCCTCGGCATCGGTTTACAACGGTTTCGGCCTTCAAGACAAATTAAGGGACAAGGTAACACGGCTTGTTAGAGCCCGTGGCGTTACTGCTGTTTCGCGTGGCCTGCGTGAGGAAGGCCCAGGGCGGCTAACGAAAAAATACACTTGCGTCATGCATGCCGCCAATGTAGGCAGCTCAAAAACTCAACAAAGTCTGCACTCGGAACACGCCACGCCATGCGTGCGGCGGCAGCTTAAAGAGGTCTACGCCATGCCATGCCACGCGTGCCGCCACGTGGGCGGCTCAGCACACAGGTCACGCCACCACACCCATTCGCACACTCCATCAAACGAGCGGGCATTCACCAGCACCAGTGCCACGACTTTGTCACAGCGGCTGCTGCAAGGCCCTGGCAGCCAAGTCCCTGGCCGCCAAGTCTTCGCAGCAGAGTTCAGACTGCTGATTGAATCAAAGAGTAGTAGCCGACCTTGCTCAAAGGGGAGCGCCGCAAAACAGAAAGCACCAAGAAAGGCTCGAGCTGAGCATCTTGCTGCCGCCTTGCGCTGCCAAGAGATGAGCCAATTGACACGGGAGACCACAGCTGCAACTCCACCCGTGAAGGGCGAACTCTTCGTGGGATGCCAGGCACTTCCTCTGACGTGAGACGCAGACCTCTGTGTGTGCATGGGCCGTCGCTGTGGACTTGCACGTCACCATGCCCCCACCTGTCCACTCAACCTGCCCTGAAGCAGCTATGTCACTTGCGTGGCAGGTGCAAGGGCTCCACTAGGCCGTATCACCAGGGACAACCCCTTGCACGGTGTGTTTATTTCGACCCGGACCTGCTGTCACGACTCACCGGCTGCACCTAGAGCCGAGCGTGCTGCCGAGGGGCCCATCGCCCGGCCGAGATGGCGATATGCCGGGTCCTGCAACGGGCACGCAACGGGCACGCAACGGGCACTCTGCACAAGTCGATACTGTGGCTTGGTTGTTTGGGTAAAGCTGCTCCACTGACGCACGAGGCTAGCCTTCCAACCGGACCCAACCTGGACCAGAAAGGCAAGTCACCTGTACACTTCCAGCGCCATGGCAATCCCCCACTCCACATCACACCACACTTGTAAACAGGTCGTTTTCATGCGGATGTGGATCATGCTCAGCAATCATTCAAGGCAAAGAAAGCAAAGAAGGGCTGATGACATTAACGGTTCATTGACATATCTCAAAAGGGCCTCGCTCAAACTGCTGGATCTGATATGTGGGGTGCGGCGCTAGGCAGCTCTGCTCTCAGGGCCCCCCGTCCTTGCGGATTGCCTCCTGGCGCAACGGCGCAACGAGTGAGAAATCAGGGAAGCTCACCAGAAGCAACCCACGCTCTGCACGGAGTCCGGACGGCACTGCTGAAATTGGAATTCAAACCCGTGCAACAGGTAGCGGTAGGCTGATGATACTCTCGCATCCACAACTTGAGTACCAAGAAATTCGTTTGTCCTTGGAAGCGCAATTACCCGGCAGTTCCCAATCCACGCTTCCGGTCACCGAACCCAGCCTCGTACGTTTCCCGAAATGGCCTGCGGCGTGGAACTTATCTGCAAACAAACATGCAGCCAATGCAAATGTTGCATTGGCAATCTTGCGCAAACCGTATATGACTCAAGATTCAATGTGACCAATATGAAGTGTCATTGTCTGTATCGCCAGACAGCCAGGCAATCAAAGAGGGCATTCCTGCAGGCCTGGGGAATAACAACAAATACCGTATTGCCCTGGAATCGCCTGGCCGCTGTGCGCACTGCTTCCAGCCATCCAGAGAGATCCAGGTGCTGCTCGGCGGGGCATTGGCAGCGCTCGCACAGGGCACCTTGGCTCAGCCGCTCTCTCGCTTGAAGCGTCCTATACGCCCTTGTAGCAGATTGGCAAGCTCGAAAGCGTCCAAGGTCTGAACTCACGCCTCTATGCCGCAAGACTTGTGGCTTGTGAGAGAAGGAGCCTAATGTTTCGTGGCATGAAAGCTTCGCTGTGACTGCTTCTCAGCACAACTGCGTTTCTTCCGGGCCTCACGGGCCTAACCAAGACTCTTGCAGCCTGAAATATCTCAAGCTCTTGCCGCGTGGCTTTGGCCCTTCCGCTTCTCCTGGTAGCCCCGCATCTTCCGATCATAGGAGTTTCGACGTTCCTCTCGGAGGCTAGGCACAGAATTTTCACCTAAGCACCTGAGCACCTCACACCAAAGTGCCCAACCTGCTTGAGTCGCCAATAAGACAAACCTGATCCTCCACTTCAAGCCGAGCATGATCAAAGAACGATGTCTGCCACATCTGACATTCTCCTGTTGGTTATCAACACCTGTAGTCTGTAATACTGTTCTATTGTGGTTATCTTGTGAATGATCAAACCCTTGTGCCAACTAGCGATCTGCTCCCAAGCCATTTCTGTCTCCACAGCAAGCCTTTGCCGCCCTGGCACCTCGATGGTTGACTTTGTGTCGTTGCCACCCCATTCCACCAAGGAAAGCGAGTCGAACCTCGATCGCATTAGCTGGCATGTGAACTCAGCTGTCACGGATCCTGCCCAATGTGACGTGCCTCGCTAAGTGCCTCACATGTTGGCAACACCTGACCATTGCTACAACCTCAAAATCACAACTGCACAAAGGCCCAGTGGCTTAACCCTGATGCCGTTGCTTCTCGCCAGTGTTTGGTTTGCTTGCACGCGTGCTTGGCTTTCACGTGCGCATGGGCAGCTGCATCCAAGTTGGGTGTGGTTGGATGCAGCTGGCAAAAAAAGAACCTAGCTTCCCGCCCCACCCTGATATTAGCCTGTGCTTGTGTGGTTGTGGGCCCAAGTGCGCTGCTGCTGGAAAAGCATTGTGTTCGCTTGTTTGCCAATGATGATGATGATGAGTTTAATGCAAGGGGCTGTGTTAAATTAAAGGGAGCCCCTTTCCATGATGAATCTCAGCTTCAGCTTGGTCACACCCACATGGTACACTGGCGGCAGCTTGTGCAGGCGCCTCGAGGGATACCTCGCACATAGGCCAATTGAATAACACAAGTGTGTGCCAATAAGTCGGAAAATGCTTCGCCTGGTGAGTTGCCGTCTAGCAGCCCATGAAGTCTGTGTTCAGCAAAGGATCCTCTGAGGCTTTGGGGGTGGTCAGGATCCTGCCAGAGTTGCTGCTGGAATTGCATGATCATGGGCGAAGAGGCCAGCTGCAAGCGGCTCACTATCCGACCAAGTCGATTCAGATGCTGCGTTTGAGGCAAAGCACAGCAGCTCAGGCCTCCTCAGCAGCTCACACCCATTTGCCCGCAGACCTAGAGCAAAGCACAAGCTTGGCTTTCTGGCAGCATTGACAATTTAAGAATCTAGCGCAGGTTGCCAAGGAATGGATCGCCATGCATCTTAGCTCCGCAAAGCTGATGCAGTCAGGACGCTGACCCAGCCGGTTTCAGGACCTTCTCCAGAGACCAGCTCGTAGCACAAACGGCCCTTGCAGTGGCCGACATGTGCTTTGACTGCTTGCAACTAGGCCAAGTTGGGCGGATGCTTTCTCCTGACTCAGCTCAATTCCTTCCGGCCTCCCTTCAGCTCATTTGGATTTCGGATTTCGGTTCTCATGGCCCGGATGGCCCGGATGGCCCGGCGAGGGCACCTCCACCAACTGCCGCTGCCGCAGCCGCGCCCCAGGCGCCAGGCGCCGCGGCAGCTCTAGGGAGCTGCGGGCCATGGAGGCCCTGGAAGCGACGAGAAGCGATGATTGGAGCGATTGGAGGGGGAGAGGGAGGAAGCTTCAGGGAACATATACAAATATATATATGATATGTATACATTTATATGTATATTAGCGTTGTCTTGGGAGATGTCCAGGCACAGAAAGGATAGTTGGGGGGGTGATGGATGGGTGTGTCTCCATGAGCATTGCCTTTGTGAAATCTTCTTTCTCACATTGAGTCCAGGCCAGCATCAGCTGTGACAACATCAAAGCATCTAAGCATTCCCTTCAAGGAAACAAGCTCGCAAAAGCCGAAACCTCAAACTCTCACGAAGTTGGCAGACTGAAATATCCAAATTGATGAGAGCGCCTCACAAGCAAACCTTCTGGATTCAGGCCACCCGTCACCTCCCAGAGGGTGCCGCTTTTGGCCTGGCAGAGGGCAAGTGAACACTAACATGTTCGAGGTCTAGGGAGCACACAGCACATCTGGCACTGTCTGGCACCCTCCTATCCCTGACATACTAAACTGGGCTTTCCAGCGAACACATAAGGAGAGAAGCAACACACATGCCCAATGCAAGCTCATCGTAAACGTCGTAAACGGATTGCCCTATGGCCAGGCCCCGAGTTGTGAAGCCGAAAGTCCTCAAGTCTGAGCCCGGCCTCGAATTGAGCTGCCAGCTCCGTGGCTTGTGGCAAAGGTGTCACCTCCTGCTCCAGCAAGCCCGAAGCCCGAAGCCCGAAGCCCGAAGCCCGAAGCCCGAAGCCCGAAGCCCGAAGCCCGAAGCCCGAAGCCCGAAGCCCGAAGCCCGAAGCCCGAAGCCCGAAGCCCGAAGCCCGAAGCCCGAAGCCCGAAGCCCGAAGCCCGAAGCCCGAAGCCCGAAGCTGTCAAAGGTTTGAGTGTGACAACGCGCAACAGAGCCGCGCCTGACTTGGCGCAGGTTGTATGGCTGGAAGTCCAGCAGGGTTGATGTGAGGGTTAAAGGCAAACGCATGACCAGCAACTCCAAAGCAACTGCGTCTATCCCCATTTGTTTGGAGGAAATGAGAACAGCCATCGCACAAAGCAGCAACTCCAGCCTGATGAGATCCATCATTCCTGGCGGCATTGCCCCTGGTTGACGACCTACCTGTAGCCCACTACAACTTGACGGGGATGCAAAGCGTCCGCGCAATGTATGGCAACATCCGCTTCCGGCTTGTATTGAAAAAGAATGTAATAATATAATGCATGGTAAGATCGATGCTTAAGGATCGGGCAATGTGGCGGATACGAAAGACCCAAACACTCCATGGGCTGCCATTCCAAGTTGACAATTGCTCCAACATCCATACATGCAACCAAGGCTTGTTGAAAGGGAGATATTTGATGTAGGCTCCGTCGAAGCCAATGCGAGGGAGCAATTACAAAGACCAGTCCCAGTCTGCGGGCCCACAGACATTGCACTGCGCTCAGCACTTACATCCGGGAAAGTGAGGCAGCCACTCGCAACAGGGAACAACCAGGCCTGTTGCTAGGAGACTGGTCGCACGCCCATGGAAAAATGATGATAAATGATGATAAATGCATCCAAAGTGCGTTGGCGACACCTCGTCATGAGGCGCCTGCGGATTCGCAGCCGAACCTGGTCGAAGGGCGCCGAGCACAGTGCAGGGCGGCAGGTGATTTATGTCACCATGTTTGAAGCCAAACGAGGTGAGACTTGGGTCCCACTGTCAGGGCACAGTCACAAGCATAGGACGCTGCTTTTGGACACACTTTGCGCAATCCCGGATGATAATTGACTGTCTGGTGTTACCTGTCCCGCCATCCCAAACTGAACCCTGTCTCCAAAAACATTTGTGGAAGTTCGCGGAGTTGCTTCGGAAGGCTACTTCCATTGTTGTGCAGTTTGACACTGGCCAGCAAGCTGAGGAAGGCTGCAAGATCTAATCAATTGCCCTCTCTAGTCCCATGGAGACGCGATGCCAAGGGGCCATCCGCACTCGCTGCAGCAGAAACAAGTCTCTCCTGCGCAACTGTGCCTGAACAAATTGTTCACCCCAACGACTGGCGAAAATAACTAGAGGCAAGAAGGTAGGAACATGCTTGCCAGCAACTTCACTCTGCACCGCTCTGAAGGCTGCTGGAAGGTTTGCCTTGGCCGACTATCAGCAGCACCAGTACCAAATCAAATTATCACCATCATATTGAGATGGTAGGAAGTATGGTGGAAGCGCAAATGGCTATAATATTTTACTGGTTATGCTCTATTTCTATAGCACAACCTCCCGCTTCTCCAGGCGGGAAGTTCCTTGATACCTGACTCTGCGCGCCTCAACTTCGGAAAGCGCGAGGCTCAAAGCCACACGAGACGTACTCAAGGTCTCTGTGGCAAAGAAAGCTGGCAGGTTGAGTGCAGCAACTTTGCTTTGGGGAATCTACAGCGCGGGCGGGCAACCTCCAGAAGGAGACGTCCAAGCCGGCCCGTGAAACGATACTCCGTCCTCTGGTGCCTTCTCCAGAAGCTCCTGCAAGTGACGCTAGTCGAATCTCAGCCGAAGGCAATGTCCAAAGCACAAATGGCACGGTCGAAAAGACTTGCTTGCGGCTGGTTCAGTGCTTAGTTTGTGAGCCCCCTACGGTTTTCCAGTGCTTTGTGTGTTCTAACAATTCTCAACTTACAGTGTCGCGGGAACACACAAAGCTAAGGATTGAGGAAAAGAAGCAAGGAACGGAAAAAGGAAGGAATACGGGAAGGGAGGGAGAAAGGAAGAGAGGAATCAAGGAAGGGGGAAGAGAGGAAGCGGGAAGAAGGAGGAAGAGCGCGGAGCGCGGAGGAAGAGAAAGAAGGATGCGCTGGTAATTTTTTGACGGTGCCTCATGTGGCAGAGGCAACAGGATGTCCAGCCTCTACCGGCGTAGTAGCTAACATAACGGCCCTAGCTTCAATCAAGCGGCGAACATACTGTTGCTAGGTGCACCCAACGCGTTCAAACGTATTGTCTGTGCGTTTGCAGTGCAGAATGAAGAGCGGTTGCCCCATCCTTGCCGCCGACCTTCAAGCTCACCCAGCCGGTCTCAGGCCCGTGTCCTGCAAACCGAAACCGGCCAGTGACATGTATCTGCCAGAGGCAATAAAGCATCGACTGTGTGGCCCACTGGAAGCAGCTGGACTGCACAAGCAACAAAATCATGCTTCATGCGCATGCAGCAAGCAAAGCGAGAGAACACCAAGCTCTTGGACATCATGGACCAGCAAGTTCACGCAACGAGTGAGCCTGCCTGACAGCAGCTGGTACTGCAAGCGGCCCTTCAAAATCCGCAGCTGGCGGACCTTGATGGCACTTGCAGTCAGTCTAACAGCAGGGCATTTCTAACAGCAGGGTGAAATCATGAGCTTCCTGCAAGCCTTTCACGAATTGCAGCTCATCCCTGCCCCAGCAGCTGTCAGGGCACCCCCACTTTCGCTTGCAAGGCCAGACGCCCCAGTTCTGCAGAACCGAGTTC